CCCAAAAACACCAAAACGGCTAGGTGTCTTTTAATGGCTTAGTTCTTCAAAATTCAAGTTTTCAAGTTTCCCCCCCCCCCCCTCTCTTGAAAACGGTCAGGTAAACTTTCTCATTCTTATTACAGTATAGGCCTGTTATGTACATATAAAAAATTAGTAGTATACGTATTCTTTTTCCCATGAATCGATAAACCCCAAAGACCTGGTGTTCTCCCTCGTCGAAAATTTTGATTCCAGGTGGTAGGAAACGAGCTTTCCCGACTTCTGAGGTGTCTTTTAATGACTCTTAAGTTCTTCAAAATTTAAGGTTAATTCCCGCTTGAAAATGGTCCGGTAAATTTTTCTTATTCTTATTACAGTAAATAGGCCTATTATGTGTGTATCGTTATACATACGTATTCTTTTTTTTTCTAGAAATCGATGAATCCAAAAAATAAAATTGGGTGTACTCCCCTGAAAAATTTTGACTCTTAGATGGCGGGAAATGAGTTTTCCCGACTTCTAATTTTCTTCTTGTAACGAAAAAAAAAAAAAAAAAAAATCAGCTCATGGGTCCTCAAAAGGTAGGTCTAGAATTCGTTTTTTCCCAAGGGAGGGGGTTCAGGACCCCTGACCACCAGATCTGCCAATGTGAATTACGAGAAAAATGAATAAACACTCTTTTCCCCTTCCCTCTCCTCCTTTTTCCCTCTTTCTTTTCTTGCATTTCCCAAAAACATCAAAACGGAATGAGATCCGGGGTCCTCCCACGGAATAATTTTGATTCCTAGATGGCGGGAAATGAGCTTTCACGACTTTTGAGCTAGGTGTCTTTTGATGACCTATTTCTTCAAAATTCAAGGCCCCCCCCCCATCTTGAAAACGGTCAGATAAACTTTCTCATTCTTATTCCAAATAGGCCTTATGGGCGTATACATACATTTAAAAAAAAATCAGTATTGCATACGTACTGTACCGTAATCTTTTTCCATGAATCGATAAATCCCAAAAAGAAAGGGGGTCGGGGGTTCTTCTTGGGAAAATTTTGATTTCTAGATGGCGGGTGTCTTTCAATTCCTTCAAAATTCAAGGTTTTCCCCCTCTTGAAAACGATTCTATGAATCAATGAAACCCAAAAAGAAAGGGGGTTCGGGTTCTCCCCGGGAAAATGTTGATATCTAAATGGCATGAATTAGCTTTCCCGACTTCTGAAGTGTCTTTTAATGACCTTTAAGTTCTTCAGAATTCAAGGTTTTCCCCCTTAAAAACGGTCAGGTAAATTTTTCTCATTCTTATTACAGTAAATAGGTCTATTATGTGTGTACCGTTATACCTACGTTTCTTAAGTATTCTTTTTTCCATAAATCGATGAACCCCAAAAATAAAATGAGGTCGGGGGTAATCCGCCGAGAAAATTCTTAGATGGTGGGAAATTAGCTTTCCCGACCTCTAATTTTCTTTTTGTAACAAAAAAAAAAAAAAAAAAAAAAAATCAGCTTACGGGTCCTGAAAAGTTAGGTATAGAATTGTTTTTTTTTTTGTTTTGGGGGGGGGGGGGGGGGGGGGTCAGGATCGCCTGACCACCAGATCCGCCAATGTGAATTGCGAGAAAAAATGCAACTCGGTCGGGGGACTTGATAAACACTCTCTTTCCCCTCCCTTTCCTGTTTCCCTCTTTCTTTTTTTACATTTCTTTCTGATCATACAAAATCTCCAGACATATATTTTCTGCCAAAAAGTGGGGGAGGGGGCGCCCGGGCACCCGCGGCTTCCCGGTACTGCCGGCCATGTGGTTAACTCTAAATTTCTTTAGCGTATGGCGCCGTACCTCTCGACACAATGCGGCTTAGTCTATAGGCCTAGCCCTACTGGGGCGTGCAGGGGGGATGGGGTGCAGTCAGTGCGACCCCCTAAATTGTATAAAGGCAAATGCTTGTGTATTATATTGTTGATATGAATTACTGGTAAGATTTTTAAGGTATGAGAGTGTAATTTCTGGGCACCTACAGGTCCATATTCTCCAAATTTTCAAACCTCAGCCCCAACCATGGTGGGGTATGAATATAAACAATATTTGCTCTTAATCATTGAATTAGTACTATGAACTAAACATGCACCGACCTACGCAGAATTACGCAGAGAGATTTAGTTACAAAAGATGACGTCATCATGATTTCGCCGAGTGGGTAAAAAAGTGTACACAAAGCCGAAATAGCTATTGCATTGAGCGGAGTCAAAAGTGGTGTATATTAAATCGTCTAAATTGTAATGAAGTTAGCACAGCAGATACTTATTATAACAACCTATAGGCCTACATTTTGAATGATTCGTACATTAATGAGACGAAGTTTAATTTGATTTACATTTCCATTCAGATTGAATATATGAAGAGTTTTTGAGAGGCCTTCTAATGGGCCTACGCACGCCTATTGCTCGCGGGACTCACCACATCGAGCGCTTACTAGCTGTTGATTAGAGGTACATATTCAGCTACTGTCACCAAGTCATTTTGTTGCAATTCTGTATGAAATATTTAAACTATTGGAGAAACTTATCGATCGAGTTCCCTAGTCCACATATCAAACACTCTGAGCATCTT